GTTTCTCCTGAGGGGAGGAACTGCTAGTTCCTTCTTCCTCCTGCATCTTGGTTCAGAACCCCTCAGATCCCACAGAGGTCAGGAAAGACCTCTTCAGCAGTACCCAGAAGCAGGGCTGTGCTGGTGAGAAAAGAACACAGAGGCTTCCTTTTTTCCTTGAGACAGAACTGGGGCTTTTTGGAAAGTGTGTCCCCAACTCCCTTTCCATTGATTCCCAAACGAGCTAGTAAAGGCACAGACCGAGGGCGCGACGCTCTCCTCTCAGAAAGCAAGGCACAGTTCAGAGGCTAGCTAGGAAAGCGGCTCTCAGTACCCTGCGATTACTCAGTACCGCCAAGCCTGAGCCAAGCGCTGCACTGGCTGACACAGCTGTCCCTAAAGGAGGGACCCCATTTGTTCCTCAGAATGGAAAGTCCTCTTTCAAACTTGACCAGGAGAGCATCCTCGCTACTCTGCGAGAGGGTGGAGGAGTGAAGTCCCCCACTCTAACCGTTCACCTTGTGGTAAGCGATGATTCTTCCTGACCACGAAGCAGGTCGTAGTTTGTAAAAGGTCCAACGCAGCTAAAATTACCCGTTTGCAAAGAAAAATGTTCATTTTTTCATCTTGTGTTGCAAGCAGTTGCATATTTTTCCCTAAGCCATTAGCCACACACGCCTGACGTGAGTCTGATCCCCATAGATTAGCTTTGTGATTGAACCTCTGTGCAGCACGTTTTTAATCGGAATAACATAAAATTTTGAAAAATGGAGATAAGCGTTTTAGTTGTGTCTGGAAACGTTGAAAAAGAAACATTGGTCTTTTCATGTATTTCCCAAAAAAAAAAAAACTAAACACAGTATCTGAAGGGAATTCTATTCGATATAATTAGAGCTTTGGGTTGTCGGGTATAGCTACTCCCACTCCCAGACCCTCCCCCCAAAGCAAAAGCAGTTAAGGGGTAGCCCCACACAATGGAGTTGCCTGACTGATACTTGGTTTGCAGATGTACTTAATGATGTTATTAAAACATAGGGCACTAACTCTCTGAGGGTTGCAGTTCAACTCTTCATTGACAGCCCTTGAAGTCCTTTCGGGCAACAGGTTCTGCTGAGATGAGCAGGACTCCATGGGGATGGGATGAAAGAGAAGGTGGAAAGCACTCTAACAAGGACTCTGTATGCTAATGTTTCATGAGTTTGTGCATCTTAGGAACGTGAGTGAGTCATGGATAAATTAAGAAATATGGGTCAAAACAAGTCAGGAGGCAAACCCAACAAGAAAAAACAAAACAAGAAAACAACAACTCAGAGCTCTTGGAATGTTGCTTGCATTTTGAAGCTCCTTATATTTTGAAGACCTTGTCAATTTAATGGAGACCAGATTTAGGTGGAGAAAACTACTATTTCACTTGTTCTTCTCAAGTCTGAGTTTAAAAAGCAAACTCTGTGTGTGTGTGTGTGTGTGTGTGTGTGTGTGTGTGTGTGTGTTTGTATATGTGTGTGTATGCTCTTCCATTATATTTTAAGACTATATGCCTTTAAGAGGAAGAGGCCAAACTGTACTTAAACAAGATGATAGGAAACATTTAATTTAAAGGTTGTTTCAAAGGCTCAGTAGTTCCAGTGTAAACAATAACTAGAATGAGAGAAAGCACGTAGGATAAAGAGTGCAGAAAAGAGCAAAATTAGAATTTCAGAACTTAAAAGTGGGCTGGATGTGGGCTCTAAGTTACCCTGGTTTTTATTTGAGAATTGGGTACCAATCACTGGCTCTCCTTCAAATCAATTCTCACTGGATTTTTTTTTTTTTTCTGATTCTGATTCTGAGGCTAGATGGGCCTCGCTCAATTCTGGTCATGTAGGCACAAGAGGTTCTAAAGCACAGCTTCTGTGAGGGATTGAGCAGGAGTATGATCTATGGAGAGTCAACAAGGTTAGCTATCCAGTTCGGAGCTTATCTGGCACTGGCCTGCCACATTGTGTTCTTGTGTGCATTGGAAGAGCCTGAGCTTTTCTAGGAATGAGAGGCATTTTTGCAATCCCATCCAACGTAGAAAAAGATACTGCCCATTCGCTGACTTCAATTTTTTACAACAGAAAGGCCGCCAGTCTCTCAAAATGGTAAATTAGACACCTAGAGATCCTACTTCAAGAAAGATTATTCTTAAGGAAGAAACACAAACACCAATGGCCATTTTTCACGGGCATGCTCAGCCATCAAGAAAGCTTAATAAACCCCTATTTAGTATGCATTTATGCAGTGATTACATGAACTTTGACCTCTGAAGAGCTGTAGCAATTAGGTTCAGTGTCTGGGATCTTCTGCACACCATTCCCCACAGGCTCCATTCCTTCTCTCTGCAGTTTATGCTGTAGGAGGATGTAAATTATTAAAGCGTGCTTTCCAGCCCAAGATTTTCTTCTTCACAAGTCAGTTTTGCCCTCCACTCCTGTCTGAACAGCCATCTCAAATGTTGGGGCTCCCATTGTCTATATTCCTCAAAAGCAATCAACGCATTTCAATTCAGTCTTACCCTACACTTTCACAATGATTAGCGCTAATGACCCAACGAGTTCCGTTTCTTAGTTTATGGCTTATCTGAAATAAGTCACAACTGTTCGGGCAGAATAATTTAGCATTTTAAAAAGTATTCAGTGTCACTTACTTTATCAGCAAGCAGAGTGGGACAGCAGAAAACTAGAAGAAGCACAGTGGGAGGGCGGCTAGAAGCGCCTCTCTTTCCCCCAAAAAAGAACTAAAAGGGAAGAGGAAAGTGTTTTAAGTTTCTAGTAAACACTGTTTAGCAAACGAATAATAGGAAGGTTGCCCCTTTCCCAAGGAGGGATGGAACTATAATTGTTACCTTTAGCTGAGAGCTCAGATAAACTGCTGGGACTCATTCTAAAGTGACCCATCACAGCATTCATCTCTTCTTGAACTTTCGGTGAACCTGAGATTAAACAGGGGTGAGCAGCTAAGCAGTTTGTTGTTAGCAGCCTTTTCAACAACCCTTTCAGACTGAGTAAATATTGATCGGTTTGAATCTGATTGCCCCAGAGGAAAACACCGCTGCATCTGAATAGCCTCCAAAAGTAAACTCTCTCGAAGGTGAAGCCCAAAGCAGACTTCACAGTCCCACAGACCAAACTCAGGCTAGTTTGAGGACACCCCCAGTTTAGTCAGTACTTTGGATAAAGATAGAGGAAATGGGGGGGGGGTTGAAAACTCATTCTGTGTTGCAATTACCCGAGGTTCCTTGGTAAAAACCTTTGTTTCATTTTTTAAATGTATGAACGAAATGTTATTTTCTGTTGTCCACATTTAGGTTGTTTCTGTTACAATTGCTGTCATTTTTCAAGGCGTTAGCTTTGCTCCTCTGAGACCAGGACAGAAAAAAAAGAGACCTTGAAATAGGATGTGTTAAGCGACTTTGATTTAATCGATTGGGACAGCTAAAAAGATACAAATGTTTTCCTTGTTGAAAGGTATATTAATGTCTCCTAAATGCATTGCTTGTTAGCTGATTTATTCTACCACCTAGGAAAGGCTAGGGATATTTAGCCATAATTTATCGTTCTCTTCCCTCTTAGCTACATTAAAACCAGCACCTTGAAGATAGGAATCTCTAGGATTCCTGCAGGTCAGACCCTGCTTTCAGATATTGAAATCAGGACAGTGGTATGCAAATGGCACTTTAACACATTAAAGTATTTGAAAACCAGCCATCTGTTTTGCTTTGTGGCCTTACACTAATAAACAAAAGATACAGTATAGCCAGGCGGGGAAATGAAAGAAAAGGGTGGTGTCTTTGAAGTTCTCTCCATCCACTTGAATCTTTTCAGGCGACCTCAGAACCAGCAGCTGAGGGAGGGTGCCCAGAGCCCTTGATATGCATGCAGCAACTGCTCCCACAAAGTCCATTTAACAGGGTTGTGCAGGAAATCTCACAAGTGTTCTAGAAGGCCTGCAAATTCCGAAGGTTTGTAGGTTTTTCTCCTCAGCCCATCTTTTCAAAACACCCTTTGAAAAGGAAGTCACATGTCTGTATCTGTGATGCTGTAGATTTTCTACTCTGCTCTGAGGGCTCAAAGCCTCCAAATGTGTGTGAAAACTGAGGAAGGTCCAACACTTGCCTAGAACGTACAAGGCTCTGAGTCCCATCCCCAGCACCACCAGGAAAAGAGTTAGAAAATGTTGCTTAAACCCTGAAATATGTTAAAAAATAAAAGGAAATTGGCAAGAGGTCTAGAACAGCTCTGTTGAATGTCATCATTTGTTGACTCCCTCTGAGATCTGACACATGCCTCTATCAGAAACAACTTGGATACACAAAGATGTGAGCTGGTTTTCATAAGGTCAACTGGAAGAATCTGAATCTAGAGACTATCAACTTCTGCCCAGCCTATGTGGCATGGAATTAGAAATGGAGAGCCTTTGCAGTCATGATGGCAATGACATGAAAGTTGAATTTGAAGGGATAAGATTGCAATGCAGAGATGTAAGGGAGTGGTTGAAAGAATGGATATTGATAGAAAGAACAGGGGGTGGGAGGCAGACCATACTCAACTTAAAAGATACTTTTATACTGAAGCTGATTAAATGTGAATCTCTCTGCCGTTGGTTCTCTAATGTGAGGAAAGACTGACTGAAGACAGTTTTCAGCTTTTGAAGGGGCTCTGTTTATATATGTGTCAACATTCAGTTGGAGGTGAAAAGGTTAGCACTTGACCCGGGAAGTATCCATGTTTGTTTCAAAAATAGATCTCCTTCATACATTGCTTCACTAGTTTTTCCATTTTGAACTTTGGTTATAATAAAGGAGTGGTTGTTATGATAAAGAGATCAGTGCATTAGCTAGACATTGGTTGGATGAGGCTATACTTATAAGGAATGCTGCAAGCTACATGACAATGGAGGGCCCACTTCTTTGAAAATAAATACCACCCTTCTGTCCTTCCCCATATATCCTTCCCCTTACTTTGTAGTAAGACACAAACTGTAGCCCAGCCAAATACACAGATGCTTAAGCATACCCAAAACTTGAATATTTTTTATTACAGACGTCTTAAGACCCGTAAACTCTGCTCTGGATCACATCCCTCTGGGATCTCAGAGCTGTTCATGATTGTACAGGAAAGGGGGACTATCGTAGGCTCACAAAAGATAACTGATAGAACTCAGTGTGGTACTTCAGGGACATCAAAACATTGTGCGACATGCAGAAGACTATTCACGAATCACACAAAATATACATTCATTGTGCCATCACATTAACAATTAGCTGAAAATACATTGTATCCAGCCAAGATAACTGTGGAAAGAAAGGGTGACTGAAAAGAGTACCTTTAGGTTACAAATAATCCAGCACACTTTTTAAGTGGAGGGTGGCCAGAGAAGCAAGAAGAAATCGGTAATTTGGGAAGTCTTGGCACAGCAAAGGTTCTGAACTTTGGGCTTCTCAGGCCTTCTTGACTCTGCAAGAGCAAATTGAGGCTACCTTTTGAGGAATCTGGTTCTGTTTGAATGCCAGGGTCCCCCCTTTTTTGTCCACCCATAATCACCAGTTTTGGAAGTTTGCCCACCCTGTTTGATATAGTTCTGCATGTTTCTAGAAAATCTGTATAAAGATAAATCTCTCAAGAGAAAGTTAAGGGGTGAATTAATTGTGTAAACACACTCAGTCAATCTCTTCTTCATGAGCCTTTGGATACTCTCTTTTTTGTGTGTCCTACTTAAGAGCCAGGTAGAGAAGAACAATATACAGATAAAAGGTGAGATGCCTCCCTTCTTCAAATGCCTGCTGGCAAAGGGTACTGTCCTCCAAGGGACATCTGAAAGGAACCATGGGTTGTGTAAAAAAAACTCTCACAACAGTGAGGAAGGAATTTTGGGGGCCACCAGAAATTGATATGGGCACCCGATGTGGATTAAGGATTTAATTTACAACCAAGTCTCCAGAATTCTATGGAACTACATTATGTTGCCCAGGAGCTCTCTGGATTGGACCAGAAAGAAAAAGAGAGACTGTAAAGGAAGAAAGATAAGCTAGAGATGTGCTTTGGGTAAGAAACCCTAGCCCAGGGAGAAGCCTGGACTACGGAGCTGGGCTGGAGTGGCCTCAATGGGAGGTAGGCAGGGTGTCTGAGGTAGATGATGCTGGAGAAGGAACGCAGGGCGAGGAGCTGGATTTCTCAGAAGATTCTTCAGCTTTCTCGTCGCTTCCAGGAGGAGTGGCTGGAGAAATGGGCAGGAGCCCCTCCTTCTCACGCTTCTTCTGCTTCATGCGGCGATTCTGGAACCAGATCTTCACCTGGGTCTCGTTGAGCTGCAGGGACGCGGCTATCTCCACCCTGCGCGCTCGTGTCAGGTACTTGTTGAAGTGGAACTCCTTCTCCAGCTCCGTGAGCTGCTTGGTGGTGAAGTTGGTGCGCACTGCGTTGGGTTGACCCACATAGCCATACTCTCCAACTTTCCCTGGGGTAACGGAGGAAGAGAGGAAAAGGTAAAAATTCTTTAACCCTTATCCGATTGCCCAATGTTCGGGGCAACATTCGGTTAACTGCTCAGCACAAACCCAGCTGGGAAGCTCTAGTGACAAACGATGTGTATGTAAAGTGTTAACCTGAAGTCAACCATTAGCGTGGTCAGGCTTCTGATTAATGGAGCCTGTAGATATTAACAAAACTCCACCACCACCGACACCTCCCACCCACACCACACCACACACACACACACACACACACACACACACACACACTTCCTACTTCTAGACCACTGAAGCATCAGCCCCTTTGAAAATGCCAGGTCCAGAAACTGCTTTGCCCCAACACACCTGGGCATCCTACACCACACACTATAACTCCAGAAGACACTAGACAGAAGCAAGAACCCATCTTTTAAAATCATTAACTTTCCTAGGAAACTAAGCGCACCGGCCCCTTTCAAAATCAAGCAACATTTGTTTGCCAGCCGGCAGGACTCACCTGTTTTGGGAGGGTTTCTTTTGACTTTCATCCAGTCAAAGGTCTGCGCTGGAGAAGGCGTCTCTGAAGCAGGGGAGCGACAGGCTTCTTGGTGGCTGGCGTGGAGAGGGGATAAGGAGTTATTATACGTGGCCAGGGCCAGGCTCTGGTGCTCTTGTCCATAAGAGTGGTGGATATACTGAGGCGAGCCCACCGTGCCCCCAGCATAACCCTGGTGGTGGTGGTGGTGGTGATGCTGGACCATGGGAGATGAGAGGTTTCCAGAGTAAACAGCGGGAGCGCACGGGGAGTACCCACCACTTACGTCTGCTTCCTGATTTAATCCATAGGGGCCATAAGGCGCACTGAAGTTCTGCGCGCCATAGCTTGGACCACAACTCGAGTGGGAGTAGGAAACCCCCAGACTCCCAGAAGTCTGGTAAGTAGACGGCTGGGGGTGGTGATGGTGGTGGTGGTGGGGCGAGCTGATCTGCACCCCCCTGCCCACTAGGAAGCGGTCGTCGCCGCCGCAGCTGTTGGCACTGACCGCGCAGGATTGGAAAGTTGTAATCCCATGGTCAGAGGTGTAGGCTCGCGCAGAGCAGGTCCCGGAGTCGCCACTGCCAAGGATGGGATATTCCAGGAAGGAGCTCATTCTTGCATTGTCCATCTGTCACTGAGTGACTGGGTCCTGCGAAGCCCTGGGTGACCGTGCCAACTTTCTCACTTCCTCCATGGGACCAGAGAAGAAAAATGATATGAATGTACAGTGCGCAAGAGGCGGGGCGGGAAGGCGGAGGACTCAAGGGGAAGGACACGTGACTTTGTCAACCAATGGCTGAGCCGCCTGCGAAAGTTTACCGGCTGCGGCGGTGATGGATCACCGTTTCAGTGGCATTTAAATCCCCGGCGCTCCTCAGTCTAGGTGACGCGCGGTCGCCCCCCCAGGCTGCCCGGGCCGCGGCGGCTGCTCCGGCCGCTGCCAGAGCTGACTTGGAGCACTGGGGCCAAGGGGAGTAGAGATTGACTTCTGCGCGCGCCCGACTCTGCTCGCCTCCGCCTCCAGGATGTGGGGGATGGGAGGCGACCCTCCGCGGCCCTTTCCCCACCCAGCCTAGAAAGCTGAACTGACAAGAGGTGAGAGGGGACGAGGCCTCTCGGCTCTCTTGAGGCGGGCCTCGGTAGGCCAGAGCTCTCTGCATGGTCTCAAGGACCCTGGCGGAGCCGGGAGCAAACAGGGTGGGAAGGGTAGGAATCCAGCACACATCATCCCCTCAGCTCGGGATGGCCGCCACCACCCAGTCCCTGCAGAGACTTGAGCCTGGAACCCAGGCGCCTAGGGCAAGGCTGCGTCACTGCCTCACCCGCCTCGGAATGTAGGGGGACGTGCGCAAAGGATTGTCTGGGAGGAATCAGGGTGGGTGTGATGGGGACCAGAGAAAGAAAAGAAGCTACTGTCCTCATCCGGAGGGTCTCAGAGCCCTCTGCCCTGACTCCTACGGGCCAATAGCGTGGCTATGGGAGCTTCTGTAATTCGACCCCAGGGGGGCGGGGGAGCCCTAGGAACCCAGCTCTCTGGGAAAGTCCGGGTGTCTGCTCTCTTCTCTGCCCTCCCTCTTCTCTGGATCTCTTCCCCTTTCTTCTTCCCAGTCAGTCAGCTTTGCTCTTGGTAGTCCCTCAGGATCCGGAGCAACTCTGCTGCTGGAGTTTGAGGGTGGAAGGCAGATGAGAAAGATGACGCTAGCAGACGTGGCCGGCATGAGGGCCGAGCCTGAGCTGCAGGCCTTCTGTCTGCTCTTAGAGACCCAGGAGCTTGCTCGCTCCAGCGTAGGCCTCAGAGGGACGGAGGGACGGGACAGAAGGACGGATCGCACAGTTCTTACAAAGTATGCTGACCTCCCGCGTCACATTTCTCTCTTTCATAAGGGGCTTGCTTGTTAGGAGTGGGAAAACCTCCTCTTGCCACCGCCCCCTATTGCATGTCTGGGGGGTGGGGAGGGACTGGCAGGTGGGAGGGGCAGTGGACAGATGGCTGAGTGGATTGTATACTTTCCAACGGACTGTGTAGTTGCTTGTGTGAACCTTCAGGTCACTCCCCAGAGAGACACGTGCAAATGTGAGCATCATCCCAGGACAGGGGTCCTGTTTTCCATCAACCTCACCCCTACGATGATGCTGATGGTGTTGGTAATTGCTGTTTACTGTTAGGTTTAATGTCAGCCCTAGGCTTGAAGAGAGAAAAGGCCACACAGAGAATGAACGCGTTCTTAAGTAGGAGAAAGTCAGTGATCACCTAAGAAACCTTGCAAGCAATTCTGCACAGGTTTTATTCTGACCATGCTTCTAGACGTGAAATTATCAGAGTAATTTATGTGTGAGTTTGGGTGTTCTCTGTCTATAGAAAAAGGAAGTTTTGTTCAGAGCAGCCACTTTTCAAATGTGAGGTCACTCTTCAGACTTTGTTTTGTTCTCCACATATAGAAGTTGTGGTCCCCTCCACCCCTACCCCCAGTCCCAAACCTGACCATCCTCAGGGAGATCTAAGTAGACCTTGTGTCTGGTCTTCCTCAGTAGCAACCACTTATTTGAGGAGTGGTGTTTCTCTGTGACCTTTGACTCACCCCCAAGGCTTGGTTAAGGGGGAGCAAGGACTGGAAAGTTTCCCCTGCTTTAGCTTCAGCTCCTGAGGAATCATCAGAGGAAAGCAAGGTAGACCTCCCTGAGGAGGTTGTCTTGGGAGGGCAGTCCTCCAGCTATGAAGAAAGCAGGGACTCCTGTGGGTCGGCAGGAAGTGAGAGGCTCAATGGAGTGAGTGCTGGTGAGCTGCTCATTTAGCAGGAGACGTCCATTCCTTCTCCCCCTTGCCTCTTTCCTGGCCTTCCGTGGGCTTCCCCTCCGGATTTGCATTAACATGCTAGCTCCAGGACTGGGGCCTCAAAGCTGCCCCAGGCCTCTGTCGGCCTGCTTGTGCTAGTTCTCACTCCCTTCAGCCCTCTCCCTCCACCTTTGTTTTCCTGAACAGACTAGATGGGGTGCTTTCCTCTCGAGATCACAGGCAGGCACTGGAACCCGGCCCACAGACACCCGGGCTTCCACAGACCTTGCCCTATTAACTGCAGGCTCGGCCTCTGCCGGCTGCGGCTGCGGCCCATGCTTTCCCGGGTAGGCTTTCCAAGACAGCCTCCCCTAGCCTGATCTCGGTAGGCTTCTGCAGCCCTGATTCTTTCCCAGCCCCCACCCTGGAGGAATCATCGGGAAGGCTACTGAGCAGGGTAAGAGACCTTTGGTCTTTTGAGCAAGCAGGCCAGCAACCCACGCAATCGAGCTAAAGTCTCTTTAAATAGCCCCCAGTAGAGTGGGTGAAAGGCGAGCTTGGGCCATGAGTGAAATAATCCTCTGCAAGCGGCTTGCTTGGCTCCAAGTGTCTCTTTCATGGCCCTTCCACTGGAAAGGGAATGAACAAGGAGGAGACAAACAGAGGCCCCGAGCTGTTCTTGGCATCCGCGGCTCAGCCAAGCTGTTGTTTTAAAAGAGCAATAAAAATGAATTATGACTAAACGCCTTCTAACTTAATGCTTTCGGACGGGGATCCCCGGCAAATACGTAAGAGGTTTTTTATTTGTGCATGTGTTCCTGCAATTGATCTCTTTGATGACATTCTCATTCATAGAAAGCGTTTGATTTATGAGCTTAGGACGAATCGCATCCAGGAGCTCAACAGTTCTGCCACAGCCGGGGACGCCCTGGTTGGCTCTCTTGGAGTCTGGGGTTTGAACCTACACAGTCCCCACACATCAAGGCTGCTGAGGGCCTGGGGGAGTAAAGGGTGGAGGGACAGGGCGGTAGGGAGCATACCCCTGAAGAAAGATTGAGGTTTCATTGTAATTCCCAAGCCTTTGCAGTTAAGAGCTGGGTTCTTAGACACCAATCAGCTGGCCTCACGCACATGTTGCTGCAGTTTCTCACAGCAAGTAAGTCATCAGAACAGAGCCCAGAAAATAAATAAACAAACAAATCAAAGTAGGGGCAGACAAAAGAAGAGGGAAAAAACAGAACACCCTAATAACACACCCTAGATCACATTTTATTAATATTTCATTTAAAGTGCTCCTTCTCTGTCTAAGAAAGTGGGTTAATTAATAATCTAAGGTGCAGAAACTCTATTTTAAAATCCCAGCTTGCTAACCTGACTTCAAACCTTTAATGATTTATTATTAGCAATGTAAACAAATCTAAGAATTAAATATTGCTGTGTGTGTGTGTGTGTGTGTGTGTGTGTGTGTGTGTGTGTGTGCAGTGGGGGCAAGAATCTTGGGATTACTGGAAAGAATCCTTTCTGGCATGCATTTTCCAGCTAGTAACCATTGTTTTGTTTTATTTTGTTTTCCTCTATCTTTTAGGTCTGTTTTGCCTGAACCCATCAACAACTGGGAGATTAATCAACCACACTGAAAATGGGGAGAGGAAGTGAGGAGTTGGAATGTAGATGTTTGAAACAAATGTGTATAAATAAATGAATTTTTGATAACTTGGTTATTGACCTAGAGACTGGTAGTTTGTTAAGGGAACTCCACTTTACTTATTCTAGATCTGGGAGTTTCTGTAGGCACTTTATTTCGCCACTTTCAAAAGCTTGGGCTGGGGCCAACTCAGGCTGCCCAATCCTGTTTCTATCACTAATTTAACTCTATGGTTTGAGTCTCAACACTGAAAACCAAATCCATTCCCTTAGGGGGGGAAAAGCCAAAAAAAAAAAAAAACCCACTTGTCAGAAGCTCTAGCCACTTTCTGGCTTTCTTCTTTGTTGCTGTCTATTTCAGACTTTGAACATGCCACCCTAATAAAATATATTAAAATTGAAAAAGGTAAACTGTGACCAGAATTTTATTTACCATATTAAACTAAAAGAAGTAAAAAGATAAGTATGAGCCTTGAGGAAGAAGGGAAGAAAAAAATAAGAAAGCTACTTATAGCAAAGGAGAATTTATTCTACCAAAAATACGCATGACAATGCATCCTAATGTGATACAAAAATAAAAAGAAAGTGACAGGACAATTTATGGTCACTTTCTTGCAGGCCTCATGTTTTGTTTCCAGGAATATCACATAGAAGCTTGTTGGGTTCGGTGTAAAACGACTAAAACTCCAACATAATTTGTAAGAGATGGCTTTAAAACTGGGTCAGAGGAGAACATTAAACAGAAAATCCTCAACATTTAAGAGAGTAGGGGGTAGATCAAGAAGAAAATAAAACAAAAATAAACCCCCGGAATAAAAGAAGGCAAAACCACCTGGTCAAGGGGGTTTTGTGTTGGGGCGCTTTGTTTTGCTTTACTGTTCTTAGTAATTCAGATGCTGTAGGTCGATTGTGGTGAGTGTATCTGTAAAAAAGTCAAAGCTGTCAGCTGAAATATCTACAGGACTGTCCAGGGAGCCTGGCAAGCTGGGCGACAGTGCATCTGAAAGCTGCAGGCAGGAATCTGTAGAGAAAACATTAAAGTCCTGCAAAGAGGGGACCTCGAGGGCCTCGGGACTGTCATTGTTTAGGCCAGCTCCACAGTTCTGGCCCATTGTTGACAAGCAGTTAGGAACAGTGGGTGACTGATGCTGAAAATGTTTCAAATTTTTCTCATTGCTGGTTAAAGGCGAAACTGGGAAAGTTTGGGAGTCGCCATTGTGTCCGTTGGGAGCCTGCTGTTGAGAAAGCGCATTTTGCTGAAAAGTGTAGCCTTCCCTCTCCAGAAGAGCCCCGGAGACGCTGAGAGCTTGCTCAAAGAGTGACTTCTCTTCCTCGTCCTCCTCCACTTTCTCTGAGTCCTCCAGGCTTTTATATTTCCCTTCGCTATTTTGGTTCTCCTTGCACTGAGTCTGCCTCTTGTGCTTCATCCTCCGGTTCTGAAACCACACTTTCACTTGTCTCTCAGTCAAATCCAGCAGCGCGGCGATTTCCACCCTCCGGGGTCTGCAAAGGTACTTGTTGAAATGAAATTCCTTTTCCAGCTCCAAAAGCTGAGTGTTGGTGTAAGCAGTTCTCAGGCGCCTGGATCCCCCGCCGCTGCCATCAGCTATTTCCAGGGATTCTGCGGAAAGGGGAAACCAACAAGAAACACACGTACAGTTGAAGGTGGAAGGGTCTGAGCAGGGTTATTCCACTGGAGAATAAATACAGCAGAAAAGAGCAACGGCAACAAAATGGCCGCCCCTGGATGCAGGGCAGCTATTGTGCTGCCTTTCCTGGGAGCCCAGCCCGGGGAAGGCCAATCCCCTCCACCTCCATCAAATCCTGGCTGTGGCTCCCCCAACCTCTTCATCCGGGAGCAAACTTTATATTAGCTACAACACAATTTATAATTAATGCATCAGCTGCTTAGCTGAGCAAGAGCGGTCTATCACTCTTCATTACTGTCAAAAAGCCAAACTCTAGGACAACTAGACAAGAGGAGGTCAGTTCCAACTCAAATAAATCATCCTACATTACACAAGTTAGGGAAAGTGCCCCCTCCTCAAAATATATATGTCTCCTTGTGGAGCACAGGATCTATTTTCCCCTCCATCAAACCCACTCCTGAGCCCACAGGGGAAGGGGACCCGCCACCGGGCACCTCTCTCCCCCTTCCCTCGAACCCCATGGTCCCCTCCCCCATAACCACTCTCACGGAAGCCCGCAGGGGCAAGAGGGTCCCCGGGACCTTGGGCCAAGTCTCGGGACTGACCTTTGTGGCCACGGCAGGCAGGGCCCGTGGAGGCGGCGGCGGCGGGCGGCAGCGCTGTTTTCTTGGCCGCCTTCTTCTCCTTCATCCAGGGGAACTCAGGCTGCTGCTGG